AAATAGGACTTTATGAAATTGTTNTTGTTACTTTTTAAATTTCTCCTTTGATTCAAGTATTACATAAGATGCTAACTATACACTTGTAATAGCACACGAACTTCTGAACTCATAATTGTGTATACTGTGGGTTAACTACTAGGATGTCCTTGGAGATGAAATTGTTCTTGTTGCACATACATATGCACATACTTCTATACACATCCAAAAAACATTTTTTATACTTTTTAACCTTAAGTTGAAGATAAATTGAATGTATGGTTTCGAGCTTGATGGAGTAGTCATAAACAGCATAATGATAGGTATGCATCTTTCCGATGCCTTTTTTCTTCTCTTTACACATTACTTATTTGATTGCTACCCATGAGATCTCACTTTTTCATAGTTTAGCGACATGTTGACACATTGAGTTCAATTTCTTGACTAAATTGATGTTGCAGATTCCGAGACCATTAACTAACACAACAATGATATATTGGTACAAAATATGAAATGCAATTACATACTGACATATTTCACAAGGAAATAAAGAGAACACAGAAGAAAAGCAACTAAGCAGTGCTAATATATACGATGTGAAATACATGAATGCTGGACAGGAAAGTATCATTTCGTTACATAGTGTATGTGCCTGCTTTATAAGTGAATGTACCTCAAGAACCAGAATGGTCACCAGCACGGTGCATACATTGCCATCAACATTGACTCTATGACGCCGAACCTGTTCAAGAAGTTGGTGCATGCATTCAACAGGATGAAAGATATCACCTTCACGGGTACCCCAAAAGGTGAATGTCCTCTCCAACTCCTGTAGATAGAAGTAAAAGTGTCAATATTGAATGAATAGTATGTCAAAAATGAAGAAGATGATTTACTAGTTACATGGACAGGCAGGAAAAGTTTATTTTCACAGTTTTCAAGCTCATACTTCTTTATCTCAACACTTGCATTTTCCTAACAAAGATCATACTTTTGTACCTCACATTTGGAAATCTTATGGTCTCATTCATTAGCCTGTAAGATGCACTAGAATTTCATGAGTGCTACTTTATCTCTGAGACAACATGAACTTTTTCTGAATTCAAGTTATCCCACAAATTAACATAGGCCATATGATTAATTAGAAAACCAACTGATATTGGATTGGCGTCATTCTGTTGACTATAAGTAATATGGAACATGACATAGATTTAAATATTGATAAGACCGGTATTTACTAGTCCAATAACCAACTGGTACAACTTACCAGTCAAGTATGAAATTGATTGTGCCATCTGGTAAGCTCATTGTACCAGGCTCGTTGGATTGTAAGTAGACTGATACCAAGCTGTACTGGGCAATAAACTTGTACCCTGGTTTGGATTTTTTCGTTTTTTTAGATTTGAGACGTGACAGCTGTCTCACATTTCATTTAGTATGACAATTGTTTTTCGTGTTCAGTACTTTTTCTCAAATACAGTTATTAAGAGAAGAACAACTGGAATTAGTGCCGGACCAAGATTTTGATCCATGTAACATAATGAAAGGAAAAGAAACACAGACTTTCTATCATCCAAAATTTGCATTGTGATGCATGTAATTTCTTCTTGGATGGATGATTCATCGACGGCAACTAGTTTGATTTAAAAGCATGAATAGTGAAAGAATTAATATAATGCTCTCAAATACAAACCCATGGCAACCATATTGCATAGCATTAAGAGGTAAGTGATAGTTCAGATAACTATGACAAGCTTGGGAGTAATCATAATAGCATAGAGAACCATGACAAATGTATCATAAATAATTTGGGAAACAAAAAGGAATTTTTGTTAGAACACAACTATGACACAATCATCCAATTATATAACTATAAAAAATTCTGAAAATATGCTTAAAAAGGTGACTGTAGAAATATAAAGTTAATGTTATATATTATTTACAAAGGTGAAACTAGGTAACATAGATAAAATTCAAGTCAGGTATGTGCTTAGGTAGACTTCTTAGATAAGATCAGAACCCAGTTCCAAAAGTCCTAATGTTTTTATATTTAGACCCACACCTAAACCCCATGGACTTCGAATTAAGGTTATAGAGTACTGCCCAAGTCTCGCAGACAAATATATTTGATTAAACAAATAAAACAAGTACCAAAATTGCCCATTATTAGTAGGTAATTATCAGAACTGGGGTTCCTACAAAATGCAATAAGCATTCCAGTTTACTTTCCCTTTCTCTTTCTCATTGCGCTGGATGCCCTTATGTTCTTAGCATCAAATTGATATTATTTCCTCCATGTAATTAATTTATAAAACTTCTTCTCAGCCTCTTTAGTTCAAGTGCTAGCCACCCCATGCCCTACCATCAATCATGTATTTTAATTGCCACCATGGCAACAACAATAACTACCCATCCATAACCAAACAGCTCAATCTCAATCCTGAAGAAAATGACCTGTAGGCATAAGATAATCATTTGACATGATCCACAAATCAAGAAGAAGTTCTTCTTACTTCATATTGTCAGTATCATGTTTATTTTGATAAAAGGGCCTGAATCAAAGTGATTTGTTAGGCATAACCAAACAGCTCAATCTCAATCCTGAAGAAAATGACTTGCTAGGCATAAGATAATCATTTGACATGATCCACAAACCAAGAATTCTTCTTACTTCACATAGTCAGTATCATGTTTATTTTGATAAAAGAGCCTGAATCAAAGTGCCAATAACATTATATTGAATAGAAAAGGAAAAAAGACCAAAATAATTAATCTTCTGAAAAGAATTAGATAGCTGAAACTGAAATATCACCTCAATAAAGGCTTTTGGGTTCGGGCAACCTTGATGCTGTGACAATTTCAATGTACATTCTGCAGCAGTACGACCATCTCGAAGAGATACAGCTTTAAAGAACTCCAACAAATTAGCACGGTCACTTTTAGAGAGTTCAACAGTCATTCCTACATCCAAGAAAATGACATGGGGCTTGGGTCTAAATATCTTCTTCCTCGACCTCTTGGTGTGTGGTACCCGCACAAGGATATTTCCAGGGTGCATATCCGCATGAATAAAATTGTCAACCTAAAACATGAAAAAAGAAGAATTTTGGACTATTGAAATTTTACTAATAAAGTTAATGGACAAAAGCTGCAAATGCAATGTCAGACATCAGCATTCAACTTACACATGGACAAAAAAAAATCATATAAATGAGCTTGGAATAAAGTTGTGTCCATAGTTTGACTAATGTTCTCTTCAAAATTGTACATTTATGACCATGCAAAATGCACAAGAAACAGATAAAGCAACTACAAGATCCTGGTGCTTTGATTCAGATCCATACACGTAACAACAAGGAAGCATGATATAGTACTAGCACTTGGATATGTAAAAACAATTTTTCATATTATCATACAATATGAGAATACAATAACTAATAGGCTATAAACTTACCAGAAGCATCTTCAGGAGTGCATGTGTACCAATGTGTGCCAAATCTCTTTTAATCTGAGTATTTCCTTCAAGCTCATCAATATAGCGTGAAACACTTTCTCCTTGTTCAAATGTCTCCACAAGAACAGAAGGATGCACAAGTGGATATAAAGGCCTAGGAAAAGACACATCTCTCCATCTGCGGAAATTGTAGATAAACCGGCTTAAGTGAGCAGCTTCCCGAGAAAGATCAACTTGAGACATCATAAAAACTGCAAATTGCCGTACACTTTCATCCAGCCTCAACCAGCTTAAACCAGGAGTTAGGCTTGAAATTCTGGCTACAAGATTGATTATCATAAAATCCCTCCTTATTGAATCACCCACACCAGGATGCCTAACCTTCACAGCAACTTCAATGGGTTTCTTCAACTGTTGACCTGGATAGGCAAACCTCAAAGAAGCTCGATGAACTTGTGCAATGCTTCCTGATGCTACTGGTTTTTCCTCAAAGTACTCAAAAATTTCAGAAAGTTTCCGACCAAACGCCTTCTCGATGGTGGTTTTGCTGTACGCAAAACTATGAGCAGGTGCTTTTGTATGAAGTTTTGTAAGCTCAAGGCATAGATCTTTCGGAAAGAGGTCTGGGCGTGTTGCTGCCCACTGACCCCATTTTATGAATGCAGGACCAGCTCTCTCCAGAGTGCGATGGACAACCCGAAGCCATCTTTTCCTGAATTCAAGTCCGAAACTATCCGCAAAGGGTGCTAACAAGATAGCTGGCAAAAATAAGATCGACAAGTACGCTGCTCGCAATACCAAAATAAAACCCTCTATGATAGAGAAAATTACTGAAGAGAAGTAAAGGCTGCGAGCTTCTGCTTGCATAAGAAGACCATTTCTTGAACTATAGAAATTGCCATCTGCCCATGCCTTCTGAGCCCATGCCAACTCCCCAACACTAAATGCAAGAAAACCAGGAACTACTTGAAACCGAGTGAAAGACAAGCTCACAGCACAGGCTAACTTACTTATCATAGATAAGGCTGGACCGTCATACGAACAGATTAGACTAAGCCTCTCCCAAGCCAATTTGGCATGATGGGTCGCCGAATAATTACTCCTCGACATTGTGTACAAGCTCTTCGTGTAGCTAGAGCTACTTCCGTTAACGTGGCCCATACCCTTGTGTCGTCCAAGCACGTTATTACCTCCAACAGGAAACCTAAATTGCGAAAAAACTCTGAACAAGAGAAAAGGTAGCCCTTTCTTCCTAAGCGACCCATGACTCCTCGAAGCTAAGAAGTCAATTCTCTGATTTGACTGGAAAAAGTACCCCGCCTTTTTATTTTCTTGAGATATCAATAACCTACATGATCATCAAAGGTTTGTCGTTTCAAGTAATCGCAACATTCAATGCTCTAATTTCTCGGGAACGCATTTGCGATCAAGGTCGACGATTTGAACCACTCAAAATAACTAAGAACAAATAAGCTAGTATTTTAATGTTACACAAAAAAAAGGAAATCTGTTTTACCAAAGAAACAGAATAAGTACAAGAAAACCATTGCAACGATACATAATTGAAACCTCAAAATCAACCAAAGAAATAAATGAAAGTTTTGGGACGGGAAAATAAGATAGCGGAGGGAGGGAATACCTTCCATGAAACGCCAGGATGCGGAACATTGGGGATAGTTCATAACCCAACGGCTCGAGAAGAGATCGGGATTTGGAAAGATTACCGATACAGGGAAGAGTTTACCAGATTGGCCGACAACATCCCAAACTTGTTGGAGAAATCATCGGAGCAGAGAGACATTTGAATTGTCCTCGGCGGCTGAAGTGGTCGCTAGGGCGAGAGCGCATCACCGAACGGATGACTGCGTCCAAAACCCACCAGGCCTGGTTTTCAATGGCGGTGAGAAGAAGAAATAGCACGCAAGTTGTGGCGGTCGCAGTAGCAGTAATGGTAGGGGAGGGAGAGGGGGACGTGCGAAGGGTTTATTCCGCTCCAAGAAACCATAGGGCCAACCAATATCCGGAGAGTTCGGATGTCTGCCCTAGGCCACCAGACAGCGCCAGGCCAAACGGTTCGGCGTTCGACAGCATAAACGAGGGAACGAGACTACGTGGTCCGACCGAACCACTTCATTCTCGTGGGGTCCGCCCTAATCAGTCTGTCAAGCAACGTTCATGTATCTTTCACTTCATATTGAAAAGTAATCACATATTCCAAAGAGATATAATGGTTTATATTTATATTTATATATATATATATATAAGATTCTAGTAATTAATTTTAGTAAATTAAAGTAATTTTAATTAATTTTTAATTTTTTTTAAAGTTTACTTAACTTAATTTTAGTAAA